AGGATGCTAACACCTTCCCTTTCTATAATCTACCCCCCGTACTCAAAAACATCTCGAAAAAGGTGTTTCTATTCTTTTTCCTTTTCCTTTGTTGGATGAAATAAAAGTCGGTGGCGACTCTTGCTTACCGCGACATTTGCGAACAAAAAACGCAAACCAATATTAACAGTCGATTCTGCCACCGTATTACACAAGCGCTTCATGATGATTCACTTGCTTTTTGATATTCATAATGCTTTTATAATGAATTTTGTTTTATGTTTCACGTGGATCTCTAATGGTAGTGTCTTGAGTGTTGATACTCATGAAATGGAAGGCAATGATTTGTTTAAGGACGATGATCAATATCCTCAATAATCACGCCAAAATTATCCCCTCGATTTTGACAAAAACCAAAGTAAAATATATTTACCCCTCGTTTTTAGAAGAACTCGAGGTAAATAATCTTTTTTTATAACATTACATTATTTACATGGAATATTAAAATACATTATTACAACAAATACAATTTTATCATAGTAGCTGTTATTCTTGGAGAACAACAAATCTTTATTGTAATTCAGATTTTGTTGTATATCTTTTATGCGCATTCTTTTAAAGTTCTATGGATTGCATGCATCCAACTTCTAACGAGTTATTTATTTCAACTATGGAGTCATTTGTTTCAACCATTGGAAATTGTTGTTTCTACACTTGTAATCCATCATTAGAGAACTTTTCCAAGCTTCTTTAAGTTCCAAGATTTCATTATCTTGAGCATATATTTTCATGAAAAATGCTTTCACAAAAAAGATATATAGTGATGGATGTAGATAGTTTGTTGTGGATTGATGTCTTGGCAATATCTTGAGTGTTGTTCCTTAATGAATTTAAGATATAGATTCGTTGTTATGGTCGTGTAACAAAACCTCTCGATGTTTTTAAAAAGCTGAGGGAAAAAGTAATTTTTAATAGAAAAATAAAATAAAATAAGGTTACACCTCGATTTTATTAAAAAAACCTGGGTAATAGGAATCAAATAAAAATGGTGAATGATAAAAAACTGAAAGTAATATATCATGCTTTCATTTCAATTTTTGTACTAGACACTAGTTTATACCATTTTTATGAATAAATTTCTCAATATTGTCAACCAGAAAAATCAGTGTTGTTTTCTTTGATTGACAACATTGAAAAGTTATTCCCAAAGTACAACAACAACAATATCAACACCATTATGTGAGTTAGATTGTAAGGGCAGAAAAAATATTTTGTTCAAGATAAAAGAACATTGAATATTTTTTCTTTCTTGTATCCAATCTAAAAGAATGATGCATATGAGTTTGGGGAGACTACATATAAGTTAGGATTATGGTAAAATATATTTAACGAGTGCTTTTATAGTAAAATATGATTATTTAATCATTCGGTTATTAAGGAAACTGAACTGATAGATCATTTAGTTTACATTTATAAAAAAATAAAAACATAAATTTAAATAGTTGGTATTTGAAGCGTGTGTTATATTAAAATTCAAAGGGAATATTTTATTTTTTAGTTTTAAAAATAAAATAAAATAAAATATGGCGCGCCTTGGCATTATACCTTATTTTTTTACTGAGGTGAACGTTTTGTCACAAAATGTATTATTTGTAGTAGTGTTGGTTTCAAGAAAAGGTAAAGGCAAGATGACTTGGTGGATGCGAGGCGACTTTCCTTTTTATTCTTCCTTCCCTTGAATACTATTAATACTTTGTATTTTTGGACATGTAGTATTTGTATGCACGTTTGATGTATGTTATGTGACTTCACGTATTTATGTTAGTTTTATGCTACTTTGACGTATCAGTACCACCATTTTAAAATCTCAGTTATGATGTTCTAAATTATATCTAGTTTGGGTATTATAGTAGGTATCATAGCAGGTTGATACCCTTGTTATGTATAAACAATCTAACAATAGTAACTAACCGTTTTTGTTCTTGTGTGTGTACTATCTGCATGATTTCTATTGTCATAATATTAAATATTGAGTTTGATCAACTTGATATCTATGTTTGTGATAAGTAAGAAGTATGGTTGAACTACCACGAGGATGAGGAAGGCCAAGAGTAGCTCGCACTAAGGGTGTAGTAGTTGGTTAAGGTGTGGGAAGATATGAGGATCATTGGGCGTAAATGATGCACCAATAAAACGAGCACCAGTTGCAAAAGTAGCAACAACATTAACAGGAATTCATGATGAAGATGATGCTATAGATGTAGGGTAGACAACGGGCGCAACCTCAACCTTCATAACAAGGGAAATATAACCAAAGCTTCTAGGGTTTCTACATGATGAAACCATATGAATTAGTAGGAAGTCTTAATCTCTGTATGGAGCAATATTTTCTTACGAGAATTAAGCGGATCTTTCAAGTGACATCATGTAGTGAGGAAGACAAGGTGAAGGGACCAACAACCTGATAGTGGGTAAGCACCACAACTTACATGAAATCTTGGAACAAGAAGAAATATTTGGAGCACTTTAAGGAAATCTCTATTGACAAGTATTTTCCAAACAGTTTGAAGACCCAAAAGAGTTAGAATTCCAACAACTGAGACAAAGAAGTATGTTAGTAGTAGAGTTTGTAGAAAAGTTTGAAGACATAGAAAACTATTCAAATAATGCGTTGTATGCACCCCACGAGAATTGGTAAATAAATCAGTTTAAGTTCGGGATGAGGGGAGAAGTCAAGCATAGTGTGGCACATCAAAAGTATGAAATCTATGTCGAGCTACGTGATACGCCGTAAGCGTAAGACAATGCCGAAGTAATGTAAAATATTATTGTTCCCCCAAAGACCAATTCTCTAAACCATTGACATAACCAGTCCTTCCCTTCTTTCACTAAAGTTTTAAACTCACATTCCACGTTGTCTTCTAACAAGCAAATGTCGACGCCTAAAGGAGTAACTTAAACTAAAAAAATAACCTTCCATGTTGAAAGTTTCTTGCATGTTATAAGCAGCCCTTAGGTTTTCCACGAACCCCACATAAGCCTTACAGAATCTGATAAGTTCTCTTTCCTCGTTGTGGAAATCAAAAGTTCTCCTAGCCTCCAGAGCTGAAGTGTCGGCTTTCGATTTAACCATCTTAGCATAAGTGTTTGATGTTAATTGCTTCAAATCCTCTTTGAATGTTTTGACCACTTCTTACTTCATTCTCATACTACTTTCTACTTTCTGAGGGTTATTTATTTGAAATCGATGATGATGTTGTCAAGCTTCACTGCAAGGTTGTCTTCATCTCTAACCTTAAAAAACCTAACAAAACCATAGTGCATGTCTATAATATCTCTCATGGAGGGGATAACGACCACGTCAATATCACTAAAACTTTAGAATTTCTCATACATTTCCTTGGCACTAAAGTTCTCTAGAAAGTTGGTGAAGAATAACGATGATCTGCTTTTGTACTCCTTCATGTCGTGTTGGTTCATTTTCCCTATGTTATCCAAACAAGTTTTGTTTTCTCTACGTCTCTTTATTTGTTGCCAATCATCATTTATCCTTGTGGTTGAGAATCTCTTCATGGATAAAATAAAGTGACCTAGGTTGATTGGAGAAATTTAGAGAGAAGTTGGAGTATCTCTAACTTCATTAATCATTTAGTAAGTGTATTTATTAATAGAGGCGTTCGCAGTTCGATTTGGACAACTTTGACGTGAAAAATCATTTGAACCGCAACAGAAAAAAGTGTGTGGTTCGGTTTGATTCGGTTGACTTTTAGAAATAAACCGAATCAAATCAAACAAAACCAACGCGGTTTGGATTGGTTTGATTTTTTACAAAAATTATTGAGCCATACATACACATATAGATGACAACATAACTTTGTATTTAGTCATTTATGCGTTATAAAAATAACAATAAAATTCATCATATTTGGACAACAACTTTCCATTTTAATATACAAAAATAATTTTAGAGAACAGTGGAATAAAAAACATAAAATAGTAGCATAAGATAATATAAAAAACATTATAATGGAACAGAAAAAACAGAGGAGATGAAAGATCGGAGAAGATGAAAATGAAAGAGCCGTAGAGAAGAGAGGTTAGAGAAGAAGAGCTTCATCAAAAACGTAATTGGAAGAGAGAATAGTAGAATAAAATTAAGAAGATGAAAAAGAGAATATAAGAGATGAGAGACTAGAGAAGAAGAGACTGGATATACATAGAAAAGAATATGAGAAGAAGACGTGATACCACTATGAGAGATTTGAGAAGACTTAAACTGAAATTTTAAGTATGAGGAAGAGAAGATCATTTGTAATTGTAAGGTTAAGACATAATAGGTTTGAATTTGGGTTGAATGTGAGTCAGTGGAGTTTGGGTTGTAACATAATGCAGTTTGGTTCAGTTTGCTATGGTTTATAAAATACAAACCGCAAACCCAAACGAACCATGTAGTTTTATCAAAAATTGATCCAAACACATTCAAATCAAAATATAATATTTTACAATTTCGATTTACTTTAATTCGATTAACAATTTTCTATTGAGCCGGTTCGGTTTTAAACACATAAATAGGGCCCTTGAGATTTCACCAGTTGTAATAAGAAACAATGAATTCATCTTAAAGTCAAACAATATTTATTAGTGTTCCCAATTTGCTTTTAATAAAAGTAATATGTAATTATTCAAGCAAACCTTGTTTTTAGTTTGCAGTTTTGAAAACACTTTTTCTTCTTGTTTTATTTATTTATTTGGTACAATTTTCTCTTTGTTTTTTATTCACATATAAATGCACTAGACTAAGAAAAATCAACACACAAAATCAAATACTACACGCTAAATAAAAATCAAGGCAAAATAAATGCAAACATGGTAACGGAACAAATGCATTGTGGACCTGAGATTAATTAGGCGTATAATAGTTACTATTACTTCCGTATGTGGCTTATCTTTCTCCAACTCTATAAATTCTTACACCAGACTCTTATGAAACACACACAAACAAACTATAACATAACTAGAAAATGGAGATCACACAAAGAAGTTTAAGCTTGTTGGTACTTTGTTTCCTGCTTATAGGAACGATGCTAGTGAGTGGTCAGAGTGCAAACAAAGTAAGAGCAACATACCATAACTACAACCCTCAGAATATAAACTATGATTACAACAGAGCAAGTGTTTACTGTGCTACCTATGATGCTAATAAGCCATATTCATTTCGTAGCAAATACGGTTGGACTGCCTTTTGTGGACCCCAGGGGCCTCGTGGCAGAGATTCATGCGGAAAATGCTTAAGGGTATGATAAACATAACCAATGACTGATAGCGCTGATAGTGTTTTTTGTTGATTAGTTGTTACTTGTTAGAGGTGAATTAATTAATAATATAGTGGTGATGATGATGATGCAGGTGACAAATACAGCAACTGGTGCTCAGAGAACAGTGAGAATAGTGGATCAGTGCTCTAATGGTGGACTGGATTTGGATGTGAATGTCTTCAACCAACTGGATACAAATGGAGCAGGCTACCAGGCGGGTCACCTTACAGTTAACTACGTCTTTGTTAATTGCGGTGACTAATTCATTCAGTTATGTGAATGCATCACTCTATGCAATAATACGAAATAATAAGTAGCAGCACTGCTTCCTAATAAGATCATAAATAAAAGAAACAGTGTTATACATGCATGTAAACTTAATTGGATGATAAATAAATCGTAAGTCTATACTTGTTCTTCTTTCGTGGTTAACATTTTATAACTTGATATTTTTATTTCATTTTCATTCTCACACAACAAAAATCATATATATATATATATATATATATATATATATATAAATATATATATATATATATATATATATGAAAAAAAAGATGATATGTTGATAGGGTAAATTATTTATGCTGTCAACCAATAACGATCATACATCAAGACAAATCAAATTAAAAAATTTTAAAAACTTATATAACATGACAGAATGACATAACCCTTATTAGATGAAAGTATAAAAAAGACTTTTTTACAGTGTCAGTGCATGATTATTAAACTATATATATATATATATATATATATTCTAAAAAGATTAAACTATATAATATTCTAAAAATATTAGACTATATAATACTCTAAAAAGATTAGAAAATGGAAGAATTGCTGCAAACACATGAAGTTACAAGCTAGGACCATTAAAAAGCTATAAAACATATAAATGAGACTTTTTTTAGGCAAGATATCCTTTCCATCCAATTCTTTTGAAACAACGTCAACTTTTGTTTGGATGACATCTGACGTGGCACTTGATCATACGCTTTCACTTGGTTTCTAGACATCATATCAAATCACTACACCATTTCACATTTGTTTATATGTGTTACACAATGATTTGGCTTTATTGCCTAAATCTTTCTCTCACTGCACTATATCCACTTGTTTGTTTCCGAAATAGCTTATAAAAATACTTACGAAAATAACTGATAGAAATGTGATTAGTGAAGTGGGGCCTAAGCCAAGGGTGTGGAGATTTTACACTAGGAAGAAGACAAAAGGAATGAAAGATGATGATGTGGCTGTGAATGCATGAGGAACACATGAAGTGCATGAGAGTGACTATATATAGCTATAGCTGGAAGGGAATAATCAGGAGGGAATTCAGTTAGGATTTGGTGGGGTCACCTTTTGGTGATTTGGGAGGACTGAGTGCTTGGGAATTGGGTAGCTATTACCAGTTTGTTATTTTCCTATTTCTCTATTACTATCTTCCTGTAATTGTGGATCTCATAGCAATACAATTGCAGTTTCATTACTCATATTACACTGTTATATCTTTTTTACCACTATTTTGTGCATTAAGACCCATCAATTGGTCTGACCTACCAGATCAAACTCACATAACGAAAAAGATTGTAGATGCCAAGGAAGCCTAAGATGGGTGACCGAGTTGACGCTTTGGAGACACAGATGGGGAATGTGACAACAACGCTGCAAGAGCTCTCTTTACAGATGCAACAACACGCTTAGCAAATGCATCAAAAAAACTTGGTTCTAGAAGAATTAAGCAAACATATCGGAAAGAAAGGAGAGACTCTAAAAGAGGAAACCTCTGTTGGTGATTCTGCACAGAGTGAATCTCGCCTCGCCTGGAAGAAGGTGAAGTTGCCTCTGTTTGATGGTGATGATCCTGTGGCTTGGATTACACGGGCCGAAATTTATTCCGATGTTTAGAATACGTTGGATGTTATGCGTGTGAAGTTGGCTCGCCTGAGCATAGAACGCTCACCCATTCATTGGTTCAACCTGTTGATGGAGACAGAAGATGAGTTGTCATGGGAGAAGCTGAAGCGATCATTAATTGCTCGTTATGGAGGACGTCGTCTAGAGAATCCGTTCAAGGAGCTTTCGATGTTGAGGCATAAGGGAAGTGTGGAGGAATTAGTCGAAGCTTTTGAGTTGTTGTCATCACAAGTTGGAAGGCTTCCTGAAGAACAATACTTGGGATATTTTATGAGTGGATTAAAACCCCAAATTCGGAGGAGGGTGCGTACTCTGAATCCTCGAAATAGGATGGAGATGATGAGAATTGCGAAAGATGTTGAAGAGGAATTGAAGGAGAAAGACGATGATAATGAGCGTTATGATGTGAAAAAAGGGGGTACGAGCGTGTGGTCCAGAAGGATTGGGAATGGTTACTAAGGAGTAAAGGTGAGTCCCAACCCAGGGATGCAACTCGTTCGTTTCAGTCGGGTGGGTCAAACCCGAGTCAGAAAACTGGTTTGATTGGATCCAACACAAATTCAACTTCATCTTTGGTTTCCTCAGCTCGAAAAAACAACGGGAGTCCGTGTTCCGACATGACGGAGAGGTTGAAGGGAATACGAAGTATCCACAATGATGAATTCAGAGAGAGGAGAGCGAAGGGTCTATGTTTCGAATGTTGGGGAAAATACCACCCTACGTTGCATAAATGTCCAGAACGAGCTCTTAGGATTCTAATCCTAGGAGAAGGTGAAACCATGACAGAGGAAGGGGAAATTGTGAGTATGGAGGACGTGAAGGTGGAAAGTGAAGAAGAAGTGGAAGCATGCGTGAGTCTCACACCATGAAGGTTGAAGGGAAGATACAGAATGTAGATTTATTGGTGTTGATTGATAGTGGTGCGAGCCACAATTTCATTTCTCCAAAAGTGACTACTGCTTTGGGTCTTGTCATCACACCTACAGCAACTAAGAGTATCAAGCTTGGTGACGGTTGTGATACGGTGGGAGAACTGACTTGGTTGTTTTGCGTTTTATCGCAAATGTTGCGGTTAGCAAGAGTCGTCACTGACTTTTCTTTTATCCAAAAGGAAAGGCGAAAAAGCACAGGAAAGACCTTTAGAGATGTTTTTGAGTTCGGTGGGATTATGAAAAGGGAAGGTATTAGCACCCTTTTCATCCATGGTTTTCCATGGGCTCTTAGTTACTTCCTAGATCACTTGATTTTGTTTGAATGTGCTTGTGGTGTGTGTTTTGAAAGTATTTTTGAAAATGGAACTTCGTAATGGTTCTCGTTTCTATAAGAACGCCTACAAAGTGTTTGTTTCGAAAATAGTTCAAAGGTGTGTTTGTGAGATGTGTTTTTGAAAGTTTTTTGAAAATGTAACTTTGTAACGATTCTCGTTTCTATAAGAACGCATACAAAGTGTTTGTTTCAAAAATAGTTCAAAGATGAGAGTGTGGGTGTATAAAAATGTTTTTGTTGTGAGCAAGCGAGTAACTAGGAGCGAATCTACCTACTCGAAAGGTCTTAAATGTGCTTTTCCTCCTCCTTTAGATGTGGCTATCTTACCATTGATTTGGTAAAAAGCCCCATCGTTAGATGTGAAGGGATGGGCGCGGGTCATTGTATGACCATGATTAGCAATGTTGCAAAGTATCCTAGCATTTTAAGGGACTAAGATCATTTTTGTAAGGCAACTTTGAATAGCGTCATCGAGGAACTATGATCTTGTTTTTTTTGTTTGTTTTGCTAAGATACCTTACATGCATAATATGGTCATTTTGTATAAGGAAACCAAGTGGAGTAACCCTAGGGGTGTAAGTGTGCAAATGTGTTTTATTTACATGCATTTAATCTTGATTAGGGTGATCCACTTCTTGGTTTTATCTTTCCATACAAACCCTAATTTACTAGCATTAATATGAAAGCGATAAAATGCGGAAAATAAAATTACTACGCTATTACATCATTATGGGGATGGGGTATACAAATGTACAAATGGGGATGACAAGTAAAGTAAACCCTAACTACTATTACAAGGCTTTGACAATTACATAATTTATAATGCAAAAACAATAAAATATGCAAGAAGATGTAAAGTGAGAGAAATTATTTGTTTTAGGGTTTTTTATAGCAAAAGGTTTGTAATTAATTTCATTGAAGAAAAACCTAAGTCTAAGTTAATTATTTAGAAAATTGTTTTTGAGGTTTCCTTTGAAAACAAAGGTTTTATAAAGTTAGGTCATTTCCAAGTAATATAACATGTCCAAAATAAACTCAAAAATCTAAAAAAAAACAAGAAATTCGGTGCCCGAGCTGACACGGGCCGTGTCAGGGGACACGGGCGCCCGTGTCAGGACCTATCCATCCTGACACGGTCGTGTCACCTGACACGGTCGTGTCACCTGACACGGTCGTGTCACCTGACACGGGCGCCCGTGTCAGCCCCAGTTCATCTTTTTCTGCTCATATACGCACCAGTAACATTGACACGGGTTATGTCGTTTGACACGGGCACCCGTGTCAGCCTATGTCCCTGCATATTATCATGTTTTTTCAATCCAACTAAGCTGACACGGGTCGTTTCGTGTGACACGGGCACCCGTGTCAGCCTCTGGTCTAGATTTTTGTTAGTTTTTTCTCTTTGATCTGTCTTGTTATATCTTTTGAGCGCAAAAGCAAATGATGTATGACCAATTATATCACAGTTTGAGAAAGTTTACCTCTCGAAGCGGAAGCTTTAGAACATGTACGGATGTTTCCGAGTGTAAAGTGGTGATTGATCGAGCTCCTTTGAACCTTCTTGAAGTAACTCCAACCTTCCTTTTATACTGAAAATGGTTGAACGGCTCCAACCAAGTCAAGTTGCAATATATGTTTTTTTTTTAGTTTAGAAGATGGTGGTAATGATGTTACAGAAGTTATTCTTATGTTTGAACAACTTCTATATGGTGTATATGAAGTGTTTGGATGCTTTTTTTAGAGAAAACTTGCAAGGTATGAGATTCAAAGATTTGGACTTCAAAGCTCAAACATGGAGGTTTTGTGTACAAATCTGGTTTTTGACAGCAAAATGATTTTTGAGTGTTAGTTTCTCCTTCTATTTTTCTGGCCCTTCTCTCCATTTTTTCTAACCTCTTTGTCTTGCAAATGCTTCTTCTATTTATAGGCAAAGGACTTGTGAACAAAGGCTGAATAGGTTTACAATACAACATGTTATGGTTTGGTTGGGATGTAAGTATCAAACTATGTCAAGTACTCCATAATTCCAAGATGAAGTACCAAAGTTGTTGGTTTAGAGGGGTTGATTTCCATATTTTATGG